ATTCATATCGTCCACTGCATTGCAATCTTCTAGGCACTGAAAGCGGTTACGTAACTCGAGCTGAAAAGTCTCGGGATTCTGGATCAGAGCACGAGGGGGACGGAGCGTTGACTTCATTAGACGAGACCTCTCCAACTTAATGTTAAGGTTCAGTGTGCCTCTAACCATTCGGTGATCGCTGCCGGTTTTCACCCTTGCGATCACTGAGACATCACTGAACAGTTGGCGTCTGGTCGTCATAATGAAGTCAATCTCATTTTTTGTCGAACCGTCGGAGCTCCACCAAGTCCACTTCCTGTGGGGCCGCTTCTGGAAGAAAGAGTTCATCATAATGAGTCCCTCTTTCTCCATAAAGTCAGCCCGTTGCTGGCCCCTACGGTTCCGTGGCCCTACTCCAAATTTCCCTAACTTCAGCTCACCGCCTTCTCTTGTGCCTAGTTTTGCGTTGAAGTCTCCCATCAACACCGTGTAGTGGGTTTTGGAGGAATGCATGGCTCTAGAAATATCCTCATACATTTCCTCCACCTCCTCATCGGGATGTGCCGAGGTTGGTGCGTAGACCTGTATGACCTTCAGCGAATACCGTTTAGTGATTCTGAGTATCAGGTACGCGACCCTCGTCGACACACTCCCAATCTTTACAACGTTGTTGACGAGAGACTTGTGGACGATAAATCCGACACTTCCTTGGGACAGATGGTCGCCCTCCCGGTGATAGAACAAGTTGCCGGACTCGAGGATTACCGTGTCCTCCCCCTCTCTTCGGACCTCAGATAATCCAATAATATCCCAGCGCAACTTGTCTATCTCTTCTTCCAGCTCCAGTATCTTCTCGTCAGTCCTCAGGGTGCGTGCGTTATACCTTGCCAGGTCGAGTCGTCGTAGGTGGCAACCGAACCTCCACCGGAGATTCTTAGCACCCCCCTGCCCCGCCGTTACCATGGTCGCCACCGTAGCCAGGAATAGCGGGGCCGCCGGGGACTGGGGGCCGTTTATTTGCGTCGTTGCTCATGGGGGGATATTTGCCATAGTTGCCACGCTTGGCGAGCGGGTTGGCAACCGCAGTTTTTTATTATGTTATTGTTGTTACCAGGAAGATGCTGCTGCCCATCTCCTTTTTGTGTCCCTCTGTCGCCTCTTACGACACCCACGGGAAGATATGGGGTAGTGGATATTCTCAACCGCCACTACACGGCTACAATCGACCCCTTCGTGCTACAATCATATTATGGCTGTAGCGTGGCTCTGCCAAGAGCACCTTTAAAGGGCACCTCCCGCGTTCCTTCAATTACGTGCATTATGCCTGTCACTACTAATCCTAACCACTACACTATATACTATAGTATTATGTGTGTCTTTCCTATCATCATCATCATCATCATCATTACAGCCCTTCACAAGTCCACTGCTGATCATAGGCCTCCCCCAAGTAATGCCACAAAGCACGGTCCTGAGCCACCTGCATCCATCGACTTCCTGCATGTCTTACCAGGTCGTCACTCCATCTAGTGGGGGGTCGCCCTACACTACGCCTACCGGTACGAGGCTGCCACTCGAGAACCTTTCTTCCCCATCGGTTATCGGTTCTTCGAGCTATATGGCCGGCCCATTGCCACTTCAGCTTATTAATCCGTTGGGCTATGTCGATCACTCTGATTTCACTGCGGATATCCCCATTTCTGAGTCTATCACGCAGTGAAACTCCGAGCATAGCCCTCTCCATAGCTCGCTGAGCGACCTTGAGCGTCCTCATACGGCCAGCGGTGAAGGACCACGTCTCAGATCCGTAAGTCATCACTGGCAACACGCACTGGTTATACACTTTAGTTTTCAGAGATTGAGGTATACCTGACGAGAAGATGTGTCGTAATTTCCCAAACGCTGCCCAGCCGAGTTGAATCCGTCGATTGACCTCTCGGTCGAAGTTGGACTTACTTAGTCGGACTATTTGTCCCAGGTAAACGTACTCGTCAACAACTTCGAGCATAGTGCTCCCAACAACTACCGGCATAGGTGTGACATGGACATTTAACATGATCTTTGTTTTGTCCATGTTCATCTTAAGACCTATCCGTTGGGAGACACCATTGAGGTCATAGATCATAGTGCTAAGGTCCTCCAGCGATTCTGCCATAAGGACTATATCGTCGTCAAATCGAAGGTGAGTGATGTACTCGCCATTGATGTTAATACCGTATCCTTTGGTGAAGAGTTTCGGGGATATAACATCACCCTGTCTTACACCTCTCTGCAGTTGGATAGGTTTCGTACTCTGGTTCTGTACTCGGATAGCCATCGTAGCCCTACTGTACAAGCACTTCAGCACTTCAATATACCGATAGTCAACTAGGCACCGCTGAAGAGACTGTAGCACCGCCCAAATTTCGACGGAATCAAAGGCTTTCTCATAGTCCACATACGTCAGGCAAAGTGGCAGATTGTACTCTTCGGACTTCTGTACAATTTGCCGAAGGGTATGTATGTGGTCTATGGTACTGAAGCCTTTTCGGAAACCGGCTTGTTCGGGAGGCTGGAAGTCGTTGAGTCTGCGTGCGAGACGATTCGTAATGACTCTCGAAAACAGCACGTAGACGCGGCTCAGAAGGGAAATCGGTCTGTAGTTCTTCAAGAGAGCGTTGTCGCCTTTCTTAAAGAACAAGACCACCACGCTTCTGCTCCACGACTCTGGAGTAGTGCCAGCATGGAGGACGGAATTGAAGAGCTTCTGAAGGACTTCAAGTACCGCTGTTCCACCCGCTTTCAGAAGCTCCGTGTAATTCCATCCTCGCCCGGGGTCTTGCCGTTTTTAAGGTGGTGGAGAGCCATTCTAATCTCGCTCAGACTGACGTCCGGGATATCATCGGAATAGTGTCGGATGAGACTTGCTCTTGGATCATTACTCACACTTGCGTGTGGCTCCAACGATGATGTGTACAGCTGCCCATAGAACCTCTCAATCTCACTCAGAATCTCAGGTGTCCCGGAAACGATGTTGCCACACTCAGTCTTCAGCCTTGACAGTTGGCTCTTTCTGGCAGACAGATCTCTGGCAAAGACTTTGGAGCCCTGGTTCCGCTCGATCGCTTCTTTAATACGAGCAGTGTTAAAGTTGCGTAAGTCTCGCCGCATGCATTTGGAGATCTGTCTGTTCAGTTGCCTGTATGCTGTCAAATCTGTTGACGATTGCAGCCTCATCTCCCGTCTAACAGCCATGAGATTAAGAGTGTGATCGGAGAGTTTTTGTGTTCTTTTGCGGCGGGTCTTGCAGAACTTAGCTCCAACCGCATGGATAGTTTCCACGAGCTTATCATTCATATCGTCCACTGCATTGCAGTCCTCTAGGCACTGTCTTTCCTATATACATAGATAATACAGAATACAGACACGTGTTCGTATCTAAACGAGGCATCCTCACGTGAGGTATACTCTGCCGTGGCTATTCGCTAAGTCATAAGGAATTAAAGAGATAATTTATAAAAGTTTTAAACAAAATTTTATACATAACTATATGTTACTTCGATAAAAATTTAAAAATTCCACGCTACCACGGTTGAGCTGATACAGTTTTATCCAATTGGCAGTGTTAAACTGCATATAATTCTGTAACGTAAACTTACTTAAGAGAGAGAATATAAGATTTTAAAAAAGTTACAAAAACACGTACCAGTACGCAGTCCACCCCATGGTAAGTGGCTATTGCAGTCCCTGGACACTTCTAACATGTTTCAAGCTAAGAAGTTTACATATGAGTTTTCACCTCTGAGTACTAAGATGAAATCCCTCACAGCCTGTACTTGTACTAACTCCCTATACCCTTCAGAACACAGCAGTGCACATACTGCTACTTGGCGGCAGAGGTATATGTTAGTTGAGAAGGACCACCTCAGAAAAATATAGATGAAACTGGGTGGTGTGTAATGGTGGTGTGCGAATAAGGTTAAGAGTAAGAGAGTGGCACCTACACAAATGGATGCTTAAGCAGAAAAGAGATTCTGCCACCTAGGAAATGTTTAATTATACCTATGTCAATTGTTCATTTCCATATGGCTTAACTTAATGTGTTCAAATAGTAAGAAGATAGTAAGAAGATATATTATGGTAATATAATATAATAAGTGATATAAAAATATAATCTAATTGTAAATCTCGTCTATTTTAAAGCCAGTAAATTATTCATATCTCAAATTTGGTAACAATGGAACTATATCATTACTTGTTTTTACCTAATGCCCAAATTACCACTGCAAGTCAGCATTTTTAGTATAAATTTTATACTGAAATGAAAAAACACATTCGCTATTTCATTGTTGAGTATTGAAAAATATCTCAGTAAATAATAAGTTGGATAATATTCATTATTATCTAGCTATCCGCTATTTCTAGATATCCACAACAGCTCCACCTACCTGGTCCAATTGTAAATCTAAACCATCCAGAGATCCACTCAAACACACACCAAAAATTACATTTATTATTATTTTTTTTATATATATACACATATATAATTCATTTTTTTATTTTGATGTAATTTTTGGTGTGTGTTTGAATGGGTGGTTTGGTGGGTGGCAAATTTGATTAAAATCGATTAAGTAGTTTAGGAGTCCATCGCGGACAAACAACGTGATATACGAGTATGTTAAGATATATAATATAGAGATAAGATTATACATTATCAGAGTAAAAATTCCTTAACTGTGTTTTCTTTTTAAAAATAATTAAAATGGTATTGTCGTATTATTAAATCCAAGATTGGTAAATAAAAAATGTTCTTATGTTACAAAATTAAAATATAACAATATATCTCAGCATTAGATTTGATTATTTATTATTAATTCAAGTATCCGAGAAAGGGTATAGGACCATGACAATCCAAATGTTTTTGTGACGTGGGTGCAAGAGTGCATTACCAGTCCTCGACACATGAGTATATAAAGGAGTCCGCAAGCACCCTTATGCATTCAAAAGCTCACACGTCTAAGTGCCCATCGTAGGTTTGCAATATGAAGGTATGAAACTTAATATAATTCGAATTTATTTCTTATTTTGCCTAATAATAAGATAATTCACTTATATTTGGCGTAATATTGCTAGTTACATTTTTGTTAGTCCATTCATGTTTTTCTTACGGTGATTTAAGTTTATTTTTCATATTCGATTTTTATCTTTTTTATTATTGTTTTATTTTGACCAATAGCGGTCCGTTAAGTTTAAAATATTTTATTATTATATTATGTAAAAGTGGTCGTCATCCTTTTACTAAAAATCAAATGATTAAGTTTTTTAGTTTTTAAAGTAAACAAATTTTTTGTTTCTTATAAATGTCGTCTTGGTATGTAGATAAATATTTTATAATGGGGAAAATTTGGTTCCAATTGAAATAGTGTATATAATTAGTATTAGTTTTAGTAAAAGGGAAACAATTATAATTTTAAGCTTATTTAGAGTGGGATTCCCCATTATCGTGTATAAACTTAGCTGTTGTTATTATAAGAAAAAAATTGCTTCCTATTTCTATTTCCCTTTTCCTATATATTCAATCGTTTGCCACAATTGCCACGCTTGGCAGGCGGGTTGGCTACAGAAGTTATTTTTTATTTTGAGTTATCAGGAAGATGACGCTGCCATCTCCGTATTCCATACGTAGGTGGTGTTTTCCCGTATGCCGCCATTACACGTTGAATGTTAATTAGATATTTTCTGATTTAATTAATGATGTAACAGATGCTTTTGATAATAACAATACAAAGAAGTGTGTATCTTAAAAATGTTTTTTTTTTTTATAATATTTATCACTTGTATATTATGCATAATATTATTTTGCTCATTGGTTTTCTTCTTTCTGTAAGGAATTTATGTTACGAAAGATTTTGAATTGAGCAGAACATAAAGTCTTTTTCATTTTATTAGCATTTGTGGAGCCGGAGAACCTTTCAATCTTTGTGCTCAGGGGCGACAACGTATCTGTATTTTGATTATATATCGAGATGTAGGTAGGCTACAATATCATTAAAATCGCTGGTGTTAATAGATTCGGAGACAGGTATGGATAGTTTCACAAATTTTCTCATAACGCGTGGTCGTGAAACTTAGTGGTTGCAAATGTGATAAAAATGCAAAGGCTCTTCGCAACGCTACATATTTAGGCCGATCTGATCTGATGGAATCGATTTCGTCGATTCAGACCGCTCTTCGTTTGATGCGGTTAAGTGTAAGGAGCTGGTACTGGGGTGCCCAGGTTAGGAGATGTGAACGTTATTTCCTGTGAGTTCAAACTTGTACCTTGTAAAATTGAAATTGTGTACCAGCGTGAAGTACTTAGCTTAGCTTTTTCAAATTCCAAAGATTCCTTCCCTTACAAGTGACCACGGAACCGCACGTCACTCGATATGTCGATGGCGGTAATTCCGATGCTATGTTAAAACTTTCACTGTCCGATTTTCAGACAATAGCAACGAACTATTTATATGTATTACACGGGTTAATGTACATACTGTAATGTAGATATGTGTAACTTTTTAAAAGAATGTAGTCTTAAATATTATTGTTTTGATAACTGATAGAATCAGGCGTTACTTTGCGGAAATCCATTATAATAAATAATTTATTACTATGCAACCTTCCGCTAACTAATTACAATGATGTGTCTTACCTGGATTGAAGAGCACCTCCCGCCCTCTCTCAATTGCATGCACTAACTCCGTCACCACTAGTCCCAGCAGCACTACTCCCGGCACCACTACTTCCAACACCACTATTCCAGGTAAGACACACCGTCGACGACAATACGACACGTGTTTCACCTCTACACGAGGCATCCTCAGGTAATGTAGACTCTACGGCGACTGACCGCTAATACTGCTGGGACTAATGGTGACGGAGTTAGTGCATGCAATTGAGTTAGGGCGGGAGGTGCTCTTCAATCCAAGTAAGACACATCATTGTAATTAGTTAGCGGAAGGTTGCAAAGTAATAAATTATTTATTATAATGGATTTCAGCAAAGTAACGCCTGATTCTATCAATTATCTTAAAAAGGCTAGCACGGCCGAACAGGCAAAACTCTATGTTAAATTAGCAATACTACATCATATTGCTGCTCAAAATGTTTGGTTTAATCAGCAGTGCAAACTATAATTGTTTTGTTTTAAAACAGGTTTTAATTTTGGCTGCTGTCTTGGTGATTTGTAGAGAGGCTGCGGGTGGTTTACCTCTACCTGCACCTTATGCTTATGCCAGGCCTCTAGGTCTGGCTGTCCATGGCCCAGCGCTAGCGGTGGCTAAAGTGGCTGCCCCAGTTGAAGATTACGACCCAAACCCTCAGTATTCCTACGCCTATGACATACAAGATGCTCTTACGGGTACGTATTTAGTTACATTATATTTTATTAAATCTTTTAGTCAACTTTCTTCATTGAATCGTAACAGTCTACTGCTGAACATTATCCTTTTCTAAGAAGAGTGTGGATTAACCGCAGTCGCCGTTGTTGGCAAGTGAATTTTTTCTTTCATAAATTCTTACAAGAGTTTAAAGACTGGGATTACATATGGCCAAACACCTGTGTAGTTAATTTATAGGCCATAAATATACATTTGTATAAGAATTATACAATAACAGCCCAAATTAACAGCTTTATGCAGCTGTGTTTTGTATGGTGAGTGTAGAGAACTGGGGACCCTTTTAACTGGAAACGAGGCATTCTATCTTAATCCTCAGGAGGGACAACGCATCTGCATTGTGATTCTTAATCGAATATAAGTGTAGATGTCTATGGGCAACAGCATCCCCTTCCAATCAGGTAGACTATTGTGCTCATTTGTCAACCTTATTCTACAAAAAGAAATTACCTGCGATGTGGGCTGCAGCCAAACGCTTTAGCTCATGTCCAACCGAGCCGTGAAGTCAGGCCAAGAACGAGGAAAAGGTACCAGGCGTCACATACCTCATCGCTGATCAATGCATAAACAAAGTAGTAGTTAGCTTGTCAAGAAGCAGCAAGATCCTTATTATATTTCTTTAAAATGTGACCCTCATACTAGGAATTTCTTTTGTATTACTGAGACGTTCTGCATACATACATTTTGCATAGACAAACATCCAGATTCGAAAGTTATATGTATGCCATAAAATAGTTGTTACGTACGGGATTTGAACCCGCGACTCGCTGTGCCCTCCACCACTAACGCAAGATTGTTTCTATGATTGACAACGGGTGTAGGGTGGTGTGGGGTGGTAAGGTGTAGTCGAGAGATTGTGCATTATGAAATTTATGTTTTAGCGCATGTATATAATTGTAAACTTTATTATTTTTTTAAATTTGTGCAGGTGACTCCAAGAGCCAGCAAGAGTCACGATCTGGGGATGTAGTTCAGGGCTCATACTCATTGGTCGAACCAGACGGCACGAGGCGTATTGTTGAATATACCGCAGATCCTCACAACGGCTTCAACGCCGTCGTACACAAGGAGCCTCTAGGTGGCGTAGTGAAGGCCGTAGCTCCCGCCTACTTGCACTAATTTACAGAATTATCGCCCTTGTTTTAACAGAACTTCCCGATTTTTTCATCAAAAAGTGTGAAGAGAGAATAGAATGAAATATATTATTATTTTGGAAATATTTTTCCTTTTTTGCACGTAGAGCGTAAATATCGCAAGTTATTTCTTCTAATATCTAATAGGTAATTTGGCACTCGTATGAAATATTTTTCACAATGCGATGACATATTATGACCTTAAATCATCGTAGGTTTTTAAACTAGCCTACATATAATATATTTTATATTGCATTCTAATTACTTGAAATAATTTTCTACGATGTGGCTTATGATCGGTTTTGTTAATAACATAAAAGTCTTGAAATCTGTTAAAGCAAGCGAAAAATCTTTGTTAAAGTGACCTGACCTTATTTGTAACGTACTGATGTATTTATGTTGATTATTAAGTATTATGTTTATAAAACATGTTAATGCTAGGGTAATAAATTAATAGAGGAATCAATTATGTTGTTTTCTTCTTAAGCATATACTCCTATTTTAAAAAAATAGTTGGAACATATAATTAAAGTTTAATAAAAAATATTGCGATATGATATGATACGTATGTATGTATTATAAATATAAATTCATCGCGTGACGTAGTAGTTAGTTTCAGATCAGTGGTGATGCTAGGGCTCCAAACTAGGGCCAGCCCAGGATATGGTTTTGTTGTTTTTAGCAGTTTTATAAAAATAAACCAATCTTGATCTGTCTTCACTCTTTAGTTTTATATTCACTGCTGTCGAGGACGTGTTTAACAAAGCACACAGAAGGCATACTACTGCTAGATAGGTTGTATAACCGTAGAATCAATCAATTTTCGTTCGATAAAATGACTTCACCTATAGAATTAAGTAGATGGCGCTATTAAAATTTAATATACTGAAGACTAAAGGAAATATTTTTTAAAAACCTCAATATATGATGTATTCATTTAATTTATTAAATTAAAATTTGGGCTTCACATTAAAAAAAAGCTTGTAAGAATTATTTGCTATAAAATTAAACGTATACCTAGGTATCTCATATTTTATGCTGCAGTTCAACATGATATTTTTAACTCATATGGTAATATAAGTATTGAGTTATTAAACCTATTAAGTTATTAAACCTATTAATACGCCTAGAATAATTAAACTTTAATGCTAAAGAGCTCTGTACCTATTAAAGTGTGAAGTAATGTTTATTGAATTTAAATTTTATTTTTAAAGATTTTACCTATCCTCGCTGATTAGCACTTTAACACACTTATATTCATCACACAGAACACTCTTTCCCTACATTTTCACTAAAAATCTTAAAAAAGTATAAATTTTCAACTTACAATATTTTACATTATAATATATTCGCTCAAACTAACACACAATGTAAACATTGAAATGTGACGTGAACTTGCAAACATATCGTCGGCGTCGCCCGCGTGCCTCCGTGTCTCGACTAACTTCATACCTAACGTGACCATATGTCCCCCTTTAGGCAGGACGTTCCCGATTTAAAGGTTTGTGTCGCGCTGTCCCCAAAATACGTAAAAATGTCCCGCTTTGACAAACAAAAGCGTGACAATCATGCAAACTCTGTCACCCGTGCCATCATTGTGACACCGCGCATACCAGTTTTGCCAGCATGGCTTGTATAGTTACGTGATTATTCTGAAAAGCTACACTTTTGAATTTAAAAGGTACGAAGTGACAATTTTTTATTAATCTACAATAAATTATCAAATAACGTAAGTTATTTCCAATTAGTATTTATTTGATCTTCAGAATTCACTTTAGATCATTAAAAGATTTAAAAAACTATGTGTTTTATTTATAAGCCTATATTAAAGGGCTTCAGATTGAATTTTGGTAACAAGGCCATTCTCAATAGAAAATAGCCATCAGATGCGCATCTGGATTATATTGCCCAAGTATAATACTACTGCTACTGAGAATTTTGTGATAGAAAAACCCAATAAATGATTCTTGACCCGACTCAGGTTTCGAACTTGGGACCACATGATTAGCAATTACGTTTACGAACATTAGACTAAGAAGGCAGTCAAAAGTGTTAAAACTATAATAATTTTAAAGGCTCTCTGAGAAAAGTGGTATAGCCGGGTTTTTATCTCCATACTAATTGCTATTTATACAATCGTAGTTATGTTTCATTATAGAAAATTTTGCTACAGGTTAGAAAGGGAGCGATCGCCTTCTCGAAAGCCCGGTAAAAAGCCCACGTGTGCGAAGGAGACTACCAATGGCTCAATTGGGTGCCCCAATTCGAAAAATCCCTAAGTCCTAGTTAGGGATTTTTTGCACTAGTAACACAGGTTGATCGGCCGTTTTTTCTCTATCGATACGTCCAACAATTTTTTTGTTATGATATCCCTAAGTGGGTTTTAGAAAACTACAAAAATTTAAATTGACGATAATTTCAGTTCCAAAAATCCCTAAAACCAATAAATCCCTTAGTCCATAAATTTTTACCGAAAAAGGACTAAATTAAAATCAAAATGAATATTTCAAAATCTTGCAACATTATGATGCAGGTTTAAACTTGATCGTTTTTTTCTCTCTGAGATCTCAAAAAATGTGTTCAGTGAAATCTTTGAATTATTATCCTCTTTCCGTGTCGCGAAGTTATTGGTGTCAAAGTGTTACGAATAATAGTGAAACATAACTATTATTATGGATTCTGAGGACAAATTGTCAAGGTAAGTTCGTAATATGAGCGAAAAACCTGTGTTTGGCTTTCTATTGCAAAGTTAAATAAGTAATAATATTTCAGACTTATACAAGAGTCCGGATTGTTTAACGAGGTTTCTTCTGACGAGAAATGGACTCCACACAATTTTAAAATTAATGATGCGGACAAGAAATTAAAATTGTCAGGAGCATGGTCAGCCACAAACATAGACATACAGTGTGTCTGGTCACGACCTAGCGATAATTTAAGGTTACAAAATATACCTAATTTGCGGTGAAAACACCCATATATGGGGGTCTACGCCCCCCTCCTGTCGGAATGGCCGCCATTTAATTTTTTTTATTCTTGTAGATACCTCTGTCAAAAGATGCAGATTTCACTGGACAGAAAGGTCCTACAGATGTAAAAGAATGTTATTTAAAAAGTAAAAATAGCATCTATCAAATAAAAATAAACATCATGGAAAGTTTTCCCTACAAAATATCTTAAAACATTTACAATGCTAATTTAAGTAAAAAAAATTGACTATTTTTTTATTTTTCTTAACATACTCATGGAAGTAAAACAAAATGAAGCATCGGATGTCGAACTTAATTCCCTATCTGAGTCTATACCTTCTGAAAGTCTTGTTGAACCGTTGCAAATTATTGAAGAAGATCCAGTTACTGACTCTAATATTTCCGTTAAAATATAACTGATAGAAAAAAATATAAGATTGAACTGCGAAATTGGAAATTTTGTAACAGATTCAGTAGAATCAGAGGTAGAAGTAGAAGTAAATATCAAGAAAGGAAAGAAAAGAGTTGCAAAGTCAGAGAAGTGGGAAAAAACATATATCAAGAAAAAGAAAAATACAGGACCATACATTACGTGAAATAAATGACTGTCGCTGTAAATGTAAAGATAAGTTAACGAGAAAAACCATAGAAGCAATAAATAAAAAAATTGTTAATTTTGAAGATCACTCACAACAAAATATATATTTACAGGGCTGTCTTGAAGAAATAGTACCAACTAGATTCCGACCTCGTACTGAAGTCAAAAACGAAGCTAGAAATCGGCGAGTATTTAAGTACTACTACTACTATGTTACTTTCAAGGGTAAGAAGATCGAATTATGTCAGCAGGCCTTTTTAGCTCTACATGGAATAAAGAGAGACCGATTAAAACGCAAAGTACATCATTTTGAAAAAGACATTACTGATGGTCGAGGACGTAGTCCAAGCAAGATAATATACACTGAGGCTGTAATTAAAAGAATTAATTCATTTATAGAAAATATACCCGCAAGAGCGTCGCACTATTCTCGGTCTTCTAGCAAACACAGGATCTATGTTGATTCTCATCTTAATATTGCTAAACTTCACCGCGATTTTCTTAAACAGAATACCGATTTAGATGTATCAGTTACTTATGAAAAATTTCGAGAAATTTTTAATACAGTTTTTAATATTTCGTTCGCAGTTCCTCGTAAAGATATATGTAGCACTTGTGAAAAATTTCAGTAGATATTCAATCTGCTGAAATTATGAAAGACAAGGATAAAGTTGCAAGTTTAAAATCGGAAAGTGAATTGCACTTGCGCAAAGCCGAAGTATTTTTGAAAAAGTGTAGTAGTTCAAAAAAGGAAGACGAAAATGTGAATGAAAACAAATTATCTATTTGCTTCGATTTTCAAAAGAATCTGCCATTGCCGGTCACTCATGTAACTGATGAATATTATCTCAAGGAATTATGGCTTCATAATTTTGGTATACATAACTTAAAAGAAAACTCAGCAACTATGTACTTGTTTACGGAAAATTATGCACATAAAGGGCCGAATGAAGTAATAACTGCTTTGGATGATTATTTTTTATACCATAAAATCCCAGATCAGACACATTTAGAAATACTTAGTGATAATGGTTTCAGTCAAAATAAAAACAGATTTATTTTTACGTATTTTGATCAATTGTCTGCGAAAGGCTTGTTTAAAACAATTTCTGTAAACTATCCAATTCGTGGGCATTCAATGATGTCCACTGATAGAGATTTTGCTCTCATAGAAAGACAAAATTAAAACATGAAAAAATGTATGAACCTGAGAGTTATATCAATTTTGTATTAAACAGTAGAAATGCCAAGAAATTTGAAGCCGTATTTTTAGAAAAGAACCTAATAGAACGAGGGCAAATAGATAGGAGCGGAGAAGAGCGAGAAGAACAACGAGGAGACGAAAGAGTATTGAAAGTTAAAGATTATAAAACTATTATATATATATTAAACAAACAAAACCGGGAATTTCAGGTTGTCGTCGAGTTTTATTTAAAAGACATGCAAAGCCAGCCTTTTCTGATTCAATGACTGGCGATAACTTTAAAGATTTTTCTTTATATAGAGTTGGTATATCTAGGTATCTTCGAGATGTTCCTGCTGATTGTTATCAAAATGCTATTAAAATTAAAGAAGCTAAAATTAATGACATTAAAAAACTTATTCGATTTGTACCACAAGAAAAAAGAGAATTCTATGAAACTTTGCTAAATTAGATGAAAGTCAAATTGTTGAGGAATTGGATGACGAAATAGAGTAACTAACCTAGTTATTTTTAAAGGCTAATAGGTATTACTCATTTTTGATTAATAGAATGCTATTAAAGAAGCCAGTTTTGTTTTGTTAAATTCCTTAGTCCTTAAAAAGAGGGAAAGATAACCCTAAGTCCTGTTGATTTAAGATAAGTCCAAAATTTTGTTTCTTAAATTAAAGTTATTATAAATGCTTTTTATGTTTTGTTTTATGTACTAAAATAAAGAGTATTTTGTGTACTATAACAGTATGTTATTTCAATTTCAACATGTCCTGTGGTTAGTTTTCAAAAACATTAAATATGTCTTTTTTATATTCTCAAAAACTGAAAAATTGGACTTAGCCATTTCTCGATTTGAAGCACCCAATTCAACTCTCCTTATATGTACGACCACAGTATTCGAGGCTACGAGGTCGCACAGAGCGCGCGGGAAATTTGAAATAGTTTGAAACAGTTTACGAGTTATTTTTTACTTGATATTATTGATTGATTCAGCTTTATAAGGCAAGCCGGGCTTCTGGGCTTGTATGGAGGCTTCGCCACTGTTTCAGATGTACCACATAATCATTATCATAATCATTATAGCCTTTCTCAAGTCCACTGCTGAACATAGGCTTTTCACAAAGAATACCAAAAAGCACGGTCCCGAACCATCTGCATTCATCGACTTCCTGCATATCTTACCAGGTCATCACTACATCTAGTAGGAAGCCGCACTACACCCACGGGAACAAGGCTGCCCATCGAGAACCTTGGTTTTCCCATCGGTTCTCGGTTCTTCGAGCTTTGTGTCCAGTCCACTGCCACTTCAGCTTACTAATCTGTTAAGCTATGTCAATTACTCTGGTTCTGCTGCGAAAATCCTCATTTCTAAGTTTATCACGCAGACAAACCCCAAGCATAGTTCTCTTTATAGCTCGTTAAGCAGCCTTGAGCTTCCGTATACGGCCAGCAGTGAAGGATGACCTCTCAGATCCATAATTCATCACTAGCAACACGCACGGGTTGCATAATTTCGTTTTCAAGTTTTGAGGTATACTGGACGAGAAGATACACATCTTCATACCAATCTCCCGAAAATTGTCCAGCCGAATTGAATCCGTCGATTGAACTCTCTTTCGAAGTTAGACTTACCTAGTCAGACTATTTGTCCCAGGTTAAAATACTCGTCAACAACTTCGAGCTTAGTGCTCCCAACAACTACTGGCATAGCTGTGACATGGACGCTACATATGATCTTTGTTTTGACCATGTTCATCTTAAGGTCTATTCGATGCGAGGCACTATTGAAGTCATTGAGCATAGTACTTAGGCCCTCCAACGATTCCACCACAAGGGACTCGGCGACGTTGGCAAATCGAAGGTGATTAATGTACTAGCCATCGATGTTAATAGCGTATATTATACGTGGTAGAGCCACACTGTTGCTATATTATAGTTGTAGCACGAAAGGGTCAGCTGATCGGCTGGACTTGGGAAGGACATCTCCATCTTAATACCAGGGTGACAACGCTTCTGCGTTTTGATTCTTAATCGAGGTTAAATGTAGATGTCTCTGGGCCACAGGATCCACTTACCATCAGGGAGACTGTATGCTTATTTGTTACTCCAGTTCTATATAAAAAAAAAATGTATACTTTCCAGTCCAATAGGTTGGAAACGTTTTCCAATGCAGCAGTGAAGAGTTTCGGGGATAGAACATCACCCTGACATACACCTCTCTGCAATTGGATAGGTTTCGTACTCTGGTTTTTTACTTGGATAGCCATCGTAGGCCTACTTTCCAAACACTGCAGTACTTCGATATACCGACAGTTAACTTGGCACCGCTGAAGAGGAATGGTATCTCTGCCCAAATTTCGACGGAATCAAATACTTTCTCATAGTCCACATACGCAATCTACCTGCAACCATTTAATATAAGATTTGTTAATCAATATGTTATTATATACGCACTGTATGGTCCAAATCGTTTACTTATACTTATATACGTTTATCCCAAAAAAGGTTTGAAATAAACGTATATGAGTAAATTTTAATGGTGAACAATTTCATCAGTAAGTTTGTTTACTTATACTTATATACGTTTATCCCAAAAACATGTTTGAAATAAACGTATATGAGTAAATTTTAATGGTGAACAATTTCATCAGTAAGTTTTGATATTGTAGAATTATATAATTGTTAAATACATACATATATTTACATAATCTCTCACTTTGGGTGACAGACCCAGAGATACTATTCTCAGAGACTACCATTTCCAGAGACGTCTACAGCAGACACTACGGACTTCCATTCCATTTACATATGGATAATTTTCTGTTAAAGAAATGTACAGGGTTATTTGGCAATAACCAACCAAATATGCAGAGAAGGTCCAGAATAAAGAAGTATTTATGAAAATAATCTGTAACATTCTCTCCTTTTATCTTTTGAATTCAAAATGCGTGGTATTGATGCATTGTGTTAACTGATTTTAGTGCGCATGCACACATTTGTAAGGGTTGATCGGTAAGCAAAAACATTGTTGCCCATAGATCACATTCAATTTGGGATAATTTCAAATAGCCTTATTTACTCGTATTTCAAAAACTTCAATAACGGTATATCACTATTTATACATTTGAACTTAAGTTTAAAATTTGCTACTCTTTGAAAAATAACCCTAGATATGTATATCGGCAATTTGGTCGGTAAAATAATAGTAACATGATTGTTATTACTCGTGCTATGTACTAGTTTTTAAAGGAATTAGTTAATCAGAGTTAAATCAAAAGGGTAAGGGGTGCATTAGTACCCGTTTTGAGTGACTTACGGAGAAGTTACCTACGTCAGGCGACACTATACAGCTTCATCAGCCGTGACAAGTTGACTGTCGGTATATATAGAGGTGCTGAAATGCTTGTATAGTATCGCTACGATGTCTATTCAAGTAGAGAACAAGAGCATAAAACCTATTCAAATGCAGAGAGGTGTAAGAAATTGTAGCATTACATCCCCGAACCTCTTCACCACTGCATTGAAAGACGTTTTAAGCTACTGGATTTGAATGGATACGGTGTTAACTTCCTTACATTCCTTACACCCGTTTGGTCTTACGATGAACAATTATGAGACAAAAAACATGTGTAACTTCCATGTTACACTTATACTGGTAGTTGTTGAAGACACTACGTAGCTTCGTAGTTGTCAATGAGTGTGTGTATCTGCGAAAACATTTTTGATTAGGGAAGTATAACTTCGTCACAGAGATCAATAGATGAATCCAAATAGGCTGGGCTGCGTTCAGGAAACTACAACAAATGTTCTATTATATGTGATATTTCTCAAAATCTTAATGCAAAAGTGGTCAACCTGTGCGATTTACCAGTGCTGACTTAAGGAACTAAAACGTGGCCTTTACTGCTGGCCGTATGAGAAATCTCTAAGTTACTCAGCGTGCGATGGAAAGGGCTATGCTAGAATTTTTTTGAAATTGAAATTCTTTGTGGCATGCAGTCTGTAACGAGGACATCCGCCGAAGAGCAAGAGTAACTGAAAAGCCAGCGAATTAGTAAGATGAAGCGGCAATGGACCGGCCATATAGCTCTAACAACCGGCAACCGAATGGGAAGATAGGTTCTTGAGTAGCAGGCAGTTGAAACCAGTTCTTGGCCACAATCCAACCTGTAGTGAGTGGTGATAAAGCCCTAGATGGTAAATTGCAATATATTAGCATAACAAAAACCTATTTACTCTTGCCTTGAAAACGTATCAGGACGGAAAAAACAGATTTTGGCAGATTATTCTGCTCATTAATATTTAATTCTTTTTGTTTTTTTTTAATTTTTTATATTTATGCAAAAAACTGCACATTTAGTATGACTATGGAATTTGGGTTTATTTTTAGTTATTTTTTATTCTCGATGTTCAGTTGTTTTATTCGGGGTTTTAGAGTATAGTTGTAGCACGTATGGGTCGGCTCGACCGGAGGAAGGACCACGCTCTCACAGAAAACCAGCGTAAATAGTAGAGTAATGCTGCTGTGTTTCGTATGGTGAGTGTAGAGAACCAGAGACCCTTTTTACTGGAAACGAGGCAATCCATCTTAGTCCTCACGGGTGACAACGCATCTGCATTTTGATTCGTAATCGAGGATAGATGTAGATGTCTATGGGATACAGCAACCACTTACCATCAGGTGACTGTGTGCTCGTTTGTCACTATATCCTACATTAAATATATATATATATATATATATATATATATATATATATATATATATATATTTATATATATATATATATATATATATATATATATATATATATATATATATATATATATATATATATATATATATATATATATATATAGTCCCCTCGTGACTATAGGTGCTGCAAAGCGACCGAAACATGAAAAAAAAATACTTTAAAAACTTACAGTTTCAAGTACTAGATATCGGGTAATTAGTAAAAATATTTTTTTTTTTGTAAATTACGCTCAACGCG